TTTAGCGGGTCTAGGTTCTATAGGTAGGGGTTTAGGGTTTACGGTTGCAGATCAGGAATTCGGTTCTTATAGGGGTGGAAGGTTTAGGATTTAGGACTACAGGTTGTTCGTGGCTGTTCGGTGTCCATCATGCAAACTTGCAGCCGTCACAAGACGCTAGGCCCCACCCCGCAATACAAGAGGACTGATTGGATGGGGGGGGGCTTTGTTGGGCTTAAAGTTCTGGCTTCAGGTTTGAGGGGTTCGGGTTCAAGCACAAGGTCCTTAAGGGAAGGATACCCCGGAAGCTCTAGCTTAGACTGCCGTGATCTAATTCGTCTCCAAGGTTTGGATACAGACTTCACACGGACTGTACAGGTGTCCTAGCTTATGGTAGTACAAAGTAGACTCTATACCGTCTATACCCCCAGAATCTTAGCACGCCCCTGGTTAAACCTGACGAAGGCAAACTTGTGTAAACAAAAACACGAACCCAAGGAACAACTACGAAACACGTTGAACAGATCTAAAACCAAACCCTAAGGGTCCAAGTGCCTAATCATCATATACTCCCCCAAATTGGCACCTACATAACTACTATCCCACACCTAAGTACCTAATTATTGGGTCCATTCGGACCCTAAAAAAAGACATAAGCCCCTTCTAGAAACCTTGGAGCACACAAAAGGAAACACTCCTACCTTAACAACCCAAAACCCACTTTTCTGTAGGTTCTTATTATAAACCCTAATATGGGATTTATAGGGACCCTACAAAAAAGTGGGTTTTGGGTTCTGAAGGTAGGGTCATAAATAAAGTAACTACACGTATAATAGCTTATAACCCCCAATTAAGGTACCCAGAACTGTACTTCTTAAGTCCCACGAAGCTCCAAGTATACGGGCCCTACGAGGGTTCAGGAAACACTCCTAGACACCCCTAGGCTCAAGGCAGAGCTCGGCAGAAGCCGCCATGCCGCCGCAGAGGATGACCCTCTCCTCAACTGAAGGGCTTGAGAGTTTAGGGTTCAGGGTTTAGGGTTTCGGGGTTTAGGGGTTTAGGGTTTAGGGGTTTAGGGTGTCGGGGTTTAGGGTTTAGGGTTTAGGGTTTCGGGTTTAGGGTTTAGGGGTTTAGGGTTCAGGGTTTAGGGGCTTAGGGTTCAGGGAGTTGGGGTTCAGGGTTTCAGCTTTGAGGATGTGGGTCTGGGGTTGCGGCTGATCTATGAAGGTTCGATGGGGTCCTAGACGGGGCGTTCGGTGGCGACTTTGACACTAAGGCACTCACGAGACTGAATTATGTATGTACTCGGCCAACCTCCCAACCCCAAAACCGGAGACCTATAACTCAGAACGATGCCGGGAAGTCCCCGAGTTTTGTGACGTGCGGCTGGCCGTTTCGGCACCGCAGCCAGGGCTGGGCTAGCGCGTGCGCCGAATGGGGCGTCCTGGTGCAGTTGAGAAACTTTCCTTTTTGAGTTCTCTGTGATCAGGGATGAGGGTGTGGGTTTATAAAGCTGTTTAGTATGGCAGTTAGCATGTTGGGGTTCGGTGTCTGATCCTCTTCGGGGGATTTTGAAGAAGGCCTAGATGCTCCGGGGCCGTAGACCATGTTCAACAAACAGGGCTTGAGGGTTTCGGGTTTAGGTTGCGAGGATTTGATGCTTCAGGATTCCATTCTAGCTGTTCGGGGTCGCAGGGCCCTGCAAGGTTCGGGAAAGTCTACATCTTAACAGGGACCTTCCTTATCAGAATGAGGCTTCGGGCATCTCGTACTTTAAGTTTATAGGGACTATCAGGCATAACTACATCATATCACTACTTACTTCTTCCGATCCCTATATCACATGCCAAACCGCTCACCCTCCACACAAACCGGTCCAGGATTACGGCCTTTTGGCCGTATTGGCCCAGTTTCCTATGGACACGCAGATTAATCGCTTTTGGCTCTATACTCCCCGATAAAATCAAAATGTGGATCCTGGCCCGACTCCTCGTAGACGATCAGCAAGACGATCGCAGATCCCTACTACAGGAAACCCAAAACTAAACAAGGAACAAACTAGACAGGTACCCTAACCCCCAGGTACCTACTATAAAGGGTACTAGAGCCCGTAGGGCCCTATATAGTAGGTAGGGTTAGGGGTATCCAAGGCCTCAAAGCCTGCCTCCTGGCTCGGGGTTTCGGTTTAGGGCTTAGGGCATTTACAACGTCAGAGAAATCTGACACGGGAGCTTCCGAACATAAGGGGAACCATATTTTGGGGCTTTTATAATAAGGATCCTACTATTTAGGGTACTATATCTGGGCCCCCTATTTTCGGACATCTGACACCGCCGCCCCAGCCTGGGCCATGCAGCGCCAGTGCGCTCCACCATCCTCACAGGAGGATGCTTCAAGTTTTGTGCACCAAAAACAAGGGGGGCTTATCCCTAAACCCTAAACCTTAAAGTTGCTTAGGGGTTTATAAGAGGGTCTGGGGCTCAGGGGCTGAATGCCTGTGGTGTTTTCTGTCAGATTCTCAGAGAAGGAGAAGCCTAAACTGACAGCACTCTGGCCCTAGGCGCCGAATCCTAAAGCCAAACCCCCCCAGCCGCAACGTCAGCCCCAAGACTTGTAGCATCTCGAAACTAACCCTAACCCTCCAGGTACTTACTATAGAGGGTACTAGAGCCCCTAGGGCCCTAGATACTAGGTACCTGGAGGGTTAGGGTAATGTAGGAACCTGATTACAAAATCTTGGGGCCTTATTCGGTTCCTTATATGGTTTAGGGTTTAGGGTTTAGGGTTTAGGGTTTAGGGTTTAGGGTTTAGGGTTTAGGATATGGATCCGAAAAAAAACTTGGCTCTAGGACTAGGGGGTCCCTTTTCAGGTCCCCAAAATAGTACGGCACCCTTATAAGGACCCTAAACGGGACCCTAATTTAGACTTATCCTAAACACCCTAAGCCTTCAACCCGACACCCTGAAGCTGAATCAGTACCTAAAGCCAACGCAGCTTACACCCTAACCATCATGCTAGTATAGGGGCCTCAATAATTAGAATAGGGCTTTGGGCCCCATCATACTATAATCATAATAAGGAACGCCCAANNTATTTAGGCCCCTACATTACACCCTTGCCCCTCCCAAGCCCTGACACCTCAACCCTGGACGCCCGGGTTCCAAAAGTAAGAAAGGCGACACGAACACCCTAAAACCCCCTAAACCCCTAGTGCCCTGAACTCTAAACCCCTAGAGCCCCAAACACCAAACCCATAGTTCTAAACCGTAGAAGGTCCCCCTCCCTTAGGGTTTAGGGTTTACCTTAAGA